TTTTGGCTTTTATGGGCACCACATACACATGGTGCATGTGTGTTCTTGAAGGCAAAACACTCACTGGCATAAAATAGAAAAATAAAACAAATGGTAAAAGTTACTAAAATATGCATTATGTAAATGTATAAAAACATAATGCCATTGCCATTAATATATGCTAATAACATTCAAAATTCACTGTCATACTGGATATAGAACGTAACATTAGAAGTGGTTCAGCAAAATATATGCTTAATCCCCAGAAGATTAAAAACGGGAAATTAAAATGAATCAATAACTAATAGTTATATTACATCTTAAACATGTGCCACACTCATGATGAAGCTAGTGTTGGAAAACAATATTTACCTACATTTTGAAGAGGACTAGCATAGCTTTTTAAACTACCTCTTTTTACTCCTGCTTGTGTTCTAATTGATTCTTCTTATGGCTTTCTAGAATTCTTTTCAGGTTTGCATATATGTAATGGAGGCATGACACATCGAGTATGCGATTGGCACATTCCTTATCTTTTATTTGCCCCACACCTCCATTTTACAGAAGAAGAGCCTGCAAGTCCAAGTCGAACAGGTGATTGACTCAACAAAGTCACCCTGCTGGTAGGGAAAGGCAAGATTTGAATCTCAAGCTATATGGTTTTAAACCTCCATGTAAGTTCAACTCTCAATCAGTAGACAGAAAAAAGTGATCAAAATCAGGACAGAAATTAGTGAAATGGGGTGTAAAAGAAGAGTGTTAAGGGTCAGTGAAGAAAATGTTCTCTTTTTGTGGCTTTATTTTTAGTTTGTGTGCCTGCAAGTCATTTTTGTGTGGGTATCCATATAGATTGGGACATCAGATCACTTAGAGCTCTCCCTATGTCTGTCTGTCTGTCTGTCTGTCTTTTACACACACACACACACACACACACACACACACACACACACACACACACACACACACACATTTTTCTATACTCTGGTTCCTTGGTGGGTAAAATGTCACTAATTCTGATCTCACAAATGTCACTACTTGAATAAAACCTTTATTAGGGTTCTCTTCTTCCATTGACTGCATTGTTATTTCTGTTCTCTGTTCTTATATTTGTAGACTATGGATTGATTGATTTATCAGTTGGATTTCTTATTACAGTGACCATTTCTTTTTTGTCATTAGTTGGTTTGGCCTGGCTCAAGAGGAGCTCTCATGTTTGCCAGGTTGGCCTCAAAACTGGCTATGTAGGATGATGTTGAACTCCCAGACCTCTCACCTCCACCCCACCCCCCGCCAGTGCTAGGATTGCATGTATTCACTACCACACCTGGTTTAAGCAGTGCTGGAGGGTAAACCTAGAGCTTCATGCAAGCATTTGGTCAATTGGGCTACATCCACAGTCCCCACAGATCACCTCTTAATTCATCTTTGCTTCCCTGTGCTGACTGTGAGCTGTGTCACTATCAGTGCTCTCATGTTTGCTTCAGTCCTCCTGAACAATCAATGTCTTTAAAATGTGGAGACAGTCAGAGCTTAGTTCCGGTAAGGCATGGTTAAAAATATGGGTACATTTGTAAATAAACTTAGTTCTGTTTCCACATCTCTTGGTGGAATCTGACTTCTGTTGGTACCTGAAATATGTTTAACAGCTAGCTGATTAGGAGAGTAGTGCCTAAATCTCTCACTTACTAAGCAAAATACAACCTCTTTGCCTCATTTCCTTCCTATGGATGAGAACATTTAGATTTTTTTTTTCTATTACATTTCCTAACGTTGATGCTTTTTCCAAATGTGGTAGCACACATCTAGTAATCCTAGTACTTGAGAGGTAGAGGCAGAAGGATCAGTTGTTCAGAGTCAGCCTTAGGTACATAGTGAATCTGAGGCTATTGTGTGTCTCAAAATTTGTGGGTTTTGTTGTGGTTTTTGTATATTTACAAGGAATTTGCAGCCTGTCTTAATTTTAAAACACTTTTACTACTCAAAAGTGAAAGCCATGCACATTAGGTTTTACTCCCTGTTTGTCTATTTCCCCCCTTCTCCCCTGGTATCTTAGTAGCTGGGGGGGGGGGGGGGGGGGGAGAAGAAGCTCTGACAAGCAGCTTAAAGGAGAAAAGATTTGTTGTGGATGACACTTTGAAGTAGTTTATCATACTACTTCAGTAGAAGTCAAGGTAGCAGGAGTGTGAATCAGCTGTTTACATTCTGATTGCATTCCAGCCTCAGTTCTCCATTTATCTAGTCTAGGATGCCTGCTAGAGAATGCTGCCACCTACAGTGGGTAGATCATCCTACTCAGTTTTTATAACCAAGATAATCTACCACAGGCATATCCTACCTATGTCCTGATGATCTAGATTCTGTCAAGCTGACAGCATTAGTCATCACATTTGTTTTCTGTCTCTGAATTTTAGCTTCAGTATTTTAGATGTTTTGTATACCTTGGAATCTCGAGAATCTTGTTGTAGGTATCCTTTTGTGTGGTTCCTTACATTAGCTTGTATCCAGATTCATTCAGGCAGCCATGTATATAGTTTCTTCATTTTTGTTGTTGCTTTGTTTTTCTTTTTTTCCTTTCTTTTTCTTTGTGAGGTGGGCACCGGGATAGGTCTAAGCCCTTCCCACTCTATCCAGTCGAACTCATCCCCACCTGTATTACATTCCTTGTTAAAGCTAAAATCCTATTGTGTAGACCAGTATTTTTTCTGTTCTTCTATTGACATTTGGGTTGTTTCTACCTATTAGCTATTGGGAACAACATTGTTCTTTTATGCTTTATTTTTGTATGTAAATTCTTAGAGTTACTAAGTAATATAGTAACTAATTGTTAATATTTGGGAAGCTAACAGCTCTGTAGCTGTACTACTTGACAGTCTAGGACTGCTGTAGACTTTCCATACTCATTAGTTTTGTTTGTTGGACACACCTGTTCATGTTGCTGTTCTAGCTTTTGAAACAGTCATTTCATGTCTACCTTGTGTCATCTATGGTTTTCCTTTAATAGCACCTCTTAGGTTTTTATTTGCTTGTTACATTAATACACACATACACATATGTATATAGACCAATGCTGTCAACTAGAGGGAATTTTGTGGCATACCAGCAATTGGAAAATGTATCCTTTCTGTGAGACTTTTACTGTTTTCTAAATAGTTCTTGGTTATACTGTTTACTTTATATTCTTCCATTCTAAGTTTATTCCTGAATTAAGAGGGCTGTTGAAGCTTTCTCTGTTGCCTGCTTCTGTGTTTCTCTCTGTTTTAGCCAGTGCCCTGGCTCCAGAATAATTTCTCATCTTGTATTTGTTCTACTGCTTTTGGATTTGTTTTGCTATTTGTTTCCTGAATTGCAAAGAAAACAAAATAACAATAAAAATTCTAGCAGATATATTGCATAATGTTTTATATCCACTTAACAGCTTCTAAAGATCAGTATTACTGCTGTGTGTGTGCTGTCACTCACCTTTAATCCCAGCCCTTAGGAGGCAGAAGCAGGTAGATCTCTGAGTTCAGGTCCACCCTGGAACAGGACAGCCAGGGCTACACAGTAAAACCCTGTCTCAAAAACAAAACAAAACAGACAAACAAAAGATCATTATTATTATTCTTAGTCTCCTTTTATTGCTGAAAAACAGACAAACAAGCAAAAAACACTTTGTCAGAGAAGTCATAACCCCTTGGAATTTTGCACAGGAATCTCTCCTAGTTTCTTACAAAGGAATCTAAAACTAGAATTCTCCTGTGAGGATCTGTTGAATAGAGTTTACTTCATTAGCTGTGTTGTTGTGTGAGACAAGGTATCACTGTAATCCAGGCTTTTCTGAACCTTGTGATCCTTCTCACTCTACCTCTGTGCAGATTTCAGGCATGACCCCATACCCATACTGCACCGTCTTTTGAGTGGAACATTTCTATGTCATTTCTTCCATCTGTTAGTGTGGCTCTGATTTGACTAAAGTACTTATTTAGGAAAAGAATCCTGAAACATTCAAGGTAAATTCTGCTACTGAAGTCTTAAAGTGCCTAGCATAGAGTTTTTACTGTACCCATAATAAACAGGAGGACACTGATTTGAAGAAAGGTTCTGTTAAATATATTTATGGAATTTGACATGGTTTTCAATGTCTTTCTAGTGATAAAGATGAAAAAGCTGCCACTCTTGCCTTAAAAGAAATTCTGCCTTTTCAGAGACTATCAAATAACTATTCTCATGTAGAACAATTATATCTATAATATACACATAAAGTTGTTGAACAGAATTGAAAACAACAGAGACTTTTTTCCAAGTCATTGTTAATGCTTTTTAGATTCATTTGCTTCTCATATGTATGAGTGTTTTGCCTGCATATATGTATGTGCACAATGTGTATGCCTGATACACTCTGAATTTAGAAGACAGCATCAGATCCTTTTGGACTGGAGTTACAGATGTTTGTGAGCCACCATGCCATGTGAGTGCTGGGAGCTGAACTGGGGTCCTCTGCAAGAGCATTAAGTGCTCCTAAGCACTGAGCTGTCTCTAGTCCCAGAGATTCTTTCTTAAGTTGTTAATATTTTTGATGGCTCTAAACAGCATGCTTTGTAGGTTGGGATTGGATTGGTGTGCCATTTCTGAACACTTTCCTCTATATAAAAATACTATATAATCATAGAAGACAACCAGTGTTCATTGTTTTTTAACTTTATGATGCTATGATAATATGGCTAGGAAAACCGACCTAAACAAGGACACATTTATTTTGGCTCTTGGTTTCAGAAATTTGGTGCGTGGTCACGTGTTTCTGGACCTGTTATGAGGCAGAGCATCATGTGGGTGTATGTGGTGCAGGAATCTTCTTCATCCTATGGAATCCCAGAAGTAGAAGTGGGCACAGGAAATAGTGATTTACTTCTATAGATAGCCTCAACCTACTAAACTAATAAGCTTTCAACACCTGAGCTGTTGGGGGACATTCCAAATCCAAAGTTTAACAAATGTCAACAAAAATTGTTTTCATGTATTAAACTATTCATTTTCTCTTACAGATATGCCAAGAGTTTAACAGTACCTGGGCATGGGAGATGGAGAAGAAAGGCTATCTTGAAATGAGTGTAGAGTGCAAACTAGCACTCTTAAAGGTAATGCATGATCATTAATTCTTCTTCTTTTTTTTTTTTTTAAGTTTCCTTTGACTCCTAAATTACAAAGTAAAGAAAACCAAGGGTCAGCAAGATAGTTTGGTGGGTAAAAGTACTTGCTACCAAATCTGACAGTCTGAGTTTGCATCCCTGGCACCTATATGGCAGAAAGAGAGTACGACTCTGGAAAGTTGTCCTCTGTCTTCACATGTGCACTGCAGAATGCAAGTGCATCCTCTGAATAAGTAAATAAATAAAAGTAACAAAATTTGAAATAAAAGGAAACTGCGTATGGATGTGCACATCCGTGATCTCAGTAATTGGGAGGCTGATTCAGGAAGATCCTTAATTTGAGGCCAGCCAGGGCTATTTCTTATATCCCAACAGAAAGGGGGGGGGAGGGATAGGGTGGACATTTTATGATTAGAAGAACAATAGGTTCTTTTGTTTTGTTTTTTTTTTTTTTTTTTTTTTTTTTTTTTTTTTTTTTTTTTTTTTTTTGGTGATAAAAAGTCTATTGTGGATTGAGGAGATGCTTTGCAGATAAAATCTTTGCCTGACAAGCATGGAGATCAGAGCTCAGATCTCCAGAACCCACTTAACACCCATGGTGTATCAGCCTACCTATGGTCCCACCCTTGAGAGGCAAGCTGGGTGGATGGTACACCAGGCAAAGCCTTGAGCTCTGGAATCAGTGATGGACCCTGTCTCTATAAGAAAAGAACAATCTAAGATGACATACCTCATGTTAACCACTAGCCTTCATGTGTGGGAACTCCCACACTCATGTAAAAAATGCATATGCACAGCACACACATAAAAGTCAATTCTTGTCTTTACTACTTTTAAGGATTGCCATTACAGTGTATCAAGTTTTAATTATTTTCGAATAGAATAGGGAAGTAGGTGTTTTGGTACTTTTATCATTTTTCAGCTGTCATCTTCATCAGTAACTATATGTCACAGGCTGGGTAGGTAAGAAAATAATAATAATAATAAAAATAATAAATAATTAATACATTTTTAAGTTCTCAATTTCCCAGATAAGGGCATGCAATTGTGTTGATAAAACCTTCGTGTAACAAAAAGTATTAAGTTAAAATGAGTCCTCTCAATCTCAACATGGGGCTACTTTCAAGTTTGAGGGTTTTTTTTTTTTCTGTTTCTTTATATTTTTAAAATTACTAATCAGTGACCAGCTAATATATGAAAAAGTGAGTCAGGTCTTCATTACTTTGAGTAATGCTTTATCAGTAGCATCCTTACACATAATACCTCAAGGTTTTTAGACATTTCTTTTTTTGTTTTTTGTTCATTGTTTTGTTTGTTTTAAGACAGGGTTTCTCTGTGTAGCCCTGGCTGTTCTGGAACTTACTCTATAAACCAGGCTGGCCTCAAACTCAGATTTGCCTACCTCTGCCTCCCAGAGTGCTGAAATTAAAGGTGTACACCACACCCCTCTAGCTAAGTGATTATTAATACACAACATCAGCATGTCTGTGAGATAAGATATGGTGAAGGAATAGCTGTTATTTTATTGTTAGGTGTTAGTTGCTCTTGTAGCTCACATGAAAAGTTTATAAGGTATATAGCAGACATTTTGAGGTACCTTGTTCACTTAGCATTTATAGTTGTAGTGGGTCCAAATTTGTCTTTGTTTTTTATTTGTTTGAACCTGAACCTCACTATTTTACAAAAACTTGTTTTAAACTCTTAGGCTCAAGCCGTTCTTCTCCTGCAGCCTTGAGAGGAAAGGAAAAATTAGGATTTTTAAAAATATCACCAAGAAACAAACAGTGTGACAATTTGCTAAGAAATCTTTACATGGGATGACAAATTGATACAACACTCCTACTGCTGGTTATAAATCCTGTGGAAATGAAATCAGCATTAAACCCATTTTTGTTCTCTACACTTGTGCACTACAGCTATAATCACAATATAATCACAATGAGCCTTACTAAATAAGAAATGCACGGTACATACATGTGTATGTACATCATGTGTATGATGGGTTGCTTTGTAGTCTTTTTTTTTTTTTTTTTTTAAACTGTTGGTACATAGCTCAGTGGGGTAAAAGCAACTACTCTCAAGTCTGAAGACATGAGTTCAATCCTGGGACCCACATGGTGGAAGGCGAGAACCTATTCCCACAAGTTGTCTTCTGAACTATACATGCAAGCTGTGTCAGGTGTAGCCCCACATACACATAAAGAAAATTTTTAAAAATTAATTTAAAAATTTTGAATCAGGAGGACATTATATTAAGTGTAGTAAGCCAGGCACAGAAAGAAATTACATATTATCACTTTAATGTAGAACTTTAAAGAGTCAGGGGTACAATGGTGGCTAGCCCTGGTCAGTGGGGTAGCAGTCAGATTGGAGAGATTTGGGGCAAACTTACTAAGTTTCAATTCGTTGGGTTGAAGATGATACTGGAATGTGATTGTAATTGCATAGTTGAAAATTGTTCATAGATTTTAAGTGTTCTCATCACAAAGTATGCTTAAATTAGCCATTCTACATTGTTTGTATATTACATCATATATATACACACATATATATGATTTTATTTGTCAGTTATATTAATAGTTTTTTTTAAAAGAACATTTAAATAGATTCATATACAGTGATATAATTGGAGCTTTTAAACTTACCATTTTAGCAATGTAATTTGATTTGTGTATTATTGATTGTGTTAAAACTCTACATGAATGTAAAATTAAAATGTTACCTTCAAATTTTCCTATTATGTTGATTATTTTAAGCAGATTCTACATAATACATTTAAAGAGTAGTACAAAATAAATGACCTGTGTGATCTCTCAGCTCTGTCCCTTAATCAGTCCTGAAAGTGTATCATATTTATTGGAGAAGTGTTTGGTCAGTATTTTAAGCCACAGTATAACTGTTTTTCAGTATCTCTGTGAGTGTCAGTTTGATGACAATCTTAAATTCAAGAATATAATTAATGAGGAGGATGCTGATACTATGCGTCTCCAACCAATTGGGCGAGACAAAGATGGCCTCATGTACTGGTACCAGTTGGATCAAGACCACAATGTCAGAATGTACATAGAAGAACAAGATGATCAGGATGGATCTTCTTGGAAATGCATTGTCAGGTACCTTTATTGGGATCTCTTTACATATTGCTTTCTTTGATCTCTTGTCTACTTCAGTGTGATCTATAAGGCCATAATGTTCTTTTTCTTAATGAAAATTGATAAATTTTCTATGGCATAGTGTCCATAGTGGGTAGTTAATATTTGCCAAATAAATTTAAAAAGCATTTCAATTCATATCAAGATATATAGTTTGTGCTCAAGATGTTATGATCTGAATATTTATGTATTAGTTATATGCAAGGAAGAAAATATTCTCAGATAAGAATATAACAAGAGAATTATTTGGTTCTCTCTTTTCAGTTTAACCAGTTTATCTGTAAATTTCTTTCTTGGGGGTCTGGATAACATTCTGCTTTTGTGTTACAGTTCTTAATCTTTTTTTATTTCTCATTTGTACTGACATTATACACTTTGAAATTGGGTTTTGTTTTTTTTTTTTTTTTTAAATAGATGAATGATACTGGACCTTTGCAGAGAATTTTTGTTTTTTTTAATTTTTGTCTTGCAATTTCATTATTTATTAGTATTTCATTGGTAGTCATATTATATGATAATTCTGGAAATATTAGTGAATGATAAAATAGGGAAAACTCAATATACACCTAAATCCTGGCTATAAATAGTTGCTTTGACATGAATCCTTCCCTGCTTTTTGCCCTGTTTTTGTTTTTAGCATATTTGTTTGTTTTTGTTTTGTTTTGTTTTTGTTTTTTTGAGACAGTGTTTCTCCGTATTGCTTTGGAGCCTTTTCTGAAAGTAGCTTTGTAGACCAGGCTGGCCTAGGACTCACAGAGATCCTCTGCCTCTGTCTCCTTAGTGCTGGGATTAAAGGCATGTACCATGACCATCTGGCTTTTAGCATATTTTTATTAATGATTACTAGTCCATTCATAGTATTCATTTTATTAGTAAATGTCAACTTTCATTGTCCATGAACAAGAATTCATGGGGTGTTATTAGCAGGTGATTAGCTAAGTCCCTAAACAAAGGTAAGTGACAAACTCCTAAAATAAAATTTATTCATTATTCTCTGTGAATATAGACACTTAGAAGGATTCTCTTCATGATGTTTTACTGCAAGGTACTGTTCCCCATAGCAGCTTTGTATTCTTCAAAAACATATTCTTTCCTGCTTTGTAACAGGAAAATATAACACAGAAAAATAACCATGTTTATTATTGCTCATGTTTTCTATACACTTAAAACAATTTCTCATGTACATCTTATTTTAGCTAATACTTGTATTTGAATCTGGGTTTATCTCCTTACCATCTATAGATAGATTCCTTCTTATCTCTTAACATTTTCTTTCCTTTGCTTCATTTAATTTCTGCTTATGTTTCTTTGTATTGCTATGCATGTGTGTTGTGTGTGTGTGTGTGAACACACCGAGTGCATTAATGTATTGGCTGGAGGCTGATGTTGGTAGTCTTCCTCAGTTGCTCTCCACCTTGTTCAATGAGGCATGGTCTCTCAGTTGAAGTCAGAACTCTGCAATATGGCTAGTGTGGCTTGACAGCTTGCTTCAGGGATCTCCTATCTCTGTTTCCTGAGTGCTGAGATTCCAGCTGGGTTGCCATACCCACTACACATTTGTGTGGATTCTGGCTGTAAAACTCTGGTCCTATTTTTTCCTGGCAAGTACTTTCCCCACTGAACCATCTTCCCAGGCTTATGTTAAGATAATAATACTTTCCCTACAAGCTGTTATGAGAACTATATGAAATATTAAACTAGGACCATATTGCATGCTCAGTAAACATTTGCTCTTTTCTTCCCTTTTTTTAAAGAGAGTATGTCACATTAAAAAGGTTTAAATTTCTTTTATTATTAGTGCATGTGTGCCACAGCTTACCTGTGAGGATCAGAGGACACTTTTGGGGAGTAGTTTCTCTTCTTTGACTTCTATGTAGTTTTTAGGGACTGAACTCAGGTCCTCAGGTTTGTGCTGCACACAGTGGTGTCATAAATCCCTGTTTCCCACCTTTTTAATTTCTCTTTTCTTATAACTTCCTAATTCCAATCACTAAGACGTATTTATCAACAGACGGTTAAAATTCTCAGTGTTTCTCATCCCTTTTCAGCCATGACTAGCTTTATTTCTAGTTGCTTCCAGCTTCAAAGAGCAAGAACCAGCTGCTAGGGATGTGGCAGTTCCTAGACTGCTTCTTTAGATATCCAGTCTCTTTAGAGTTGAGTCTTCAGCACTTACATAAACAAATCTGGGGGCACATTCTTGTACCCCTAGGTGGAAGCTGGAGGGTCAGAAATCCAGGCTATCCTTAGCTACATAGTAAATTTAAACCCAGCCTAGGCTACTAGAGACTTTGTCTCATAAATAAGATGAAAATCAAACAGAACCAGAACATCAAAACACAAAACTACACAAAAATTCCCTTTTCGTGTGTTAATATCTGTTCCTGGTCAACATCAAATGTTGTGTGTATGGTCAGTGTTCAAAAGCCAGTCCTCATAAAGAACACCTGAGTGGTCTTCTCATGTTAACAACAGGAATTTGTTTAGTGAGGTGTAGCAGGTTGTTTTTAACCTTCATGAATCTTTTTATAGCTGTTGTTTTTGGAGACCCAGCTCTCACTATGTATTCCTGGCTAGCCTTGAACTCACAGAGGTTGTCTGCCTCTGCCTCATCGTCAATGATGAGGTTAAAAGGCAGGTACCACCAGACCCCATGTATGTTATTCTTAATCAATGTGCTCAGGAACTCTGACCACATAAATGAAGGAATGCTTTGGACCATTGAGTTCAGTGACTCTTGTAGTGATACCTTTCTTGCACAAATAAAGCCTGTCTGAGAGATCCACAGCACACCTCACCTCCTGAGCATCTCAACAGAGCGGAGAGTGATTTCCTGTTTGTCCCTGTTTATATCCTGATTCTGCCCAGCTCTGTGACTTCTTGTCTGTCTGTACAGACCTCTAGACCTCTGTGGTAGCTAGTGGCAAGCTCCATTCTCTGACCCCCCCCCCCCCCAGACTGGCTTTATTTGTACAAGAAAGATATCACCACAGACTCTGATGTCCACTAAGCCAATTTTTAAACCCTTGGTGAACATGTACTCCTTTACTTTATTAGTCACACCTGTACAGTGGGCACCAAGCTAAGAAACTCAGGATGTGGGGTGATGAGTTGCTTAGTGGAGGATACTTGCATAGCATGTGTGAAGCCTTCAGTTTAACCAACACTAACAACATGCATTTTTCACATAATATGTAAAATTAACATATATTTGGTCCACAAAATAATGTGATCACTTGATCCTGATGAGGTCATATTTGGAATATCCCATACTTGAAGAGAAAAATATTTAGTAAATCAGCTCCTTATGGGAAGGACACTAATTGAATAGGAAGACTGTTAATTGACAGATGAAAATGGTTGACATAGAATAACTTAAGGAGATGGTTCTTTAAACACATAAAGGATTAATTTGGGGGGAAATCTGTGATGGGATTAAAGGGCTGAGATATTCATCATGGTACAGAACTGAGATCCAAAGAAAAAAGAGCATTTACTTTTATGTTACAGAGAAATGATTGCCTTGTGGCTGACAGATGCTGTCAGGGTGTTTTCTAATTAAACCTGGCCTATGTAAAGTGAGTTTTAAAAGAGACATTCACCTTCTTAGAAACTCAAGTAATAAGGAAAAGCAAGCAGTGTAAGCAGGATTTTGGCTTTTTTGTTTTTTTAGATCACACTTAGATTTTTTTCTTAACTAGAGAACATTATTTTTTACTAAGGAAATGAAAAGACTTGTTTACTTGAAACAATTTCTTTAAAGGAGTACTTTTCTCTTGTTTGAATAACATTTTTTACAAGATTTATTTATTTATGAAATGGGTGCTTTTGTCTGCATGAACATCTACACATCAGAATGGGGCATTAGAATTTATAAAACTACAGTTACAGACAGTTGTAAGCTGCCATGTGGGTGCTGGGAATTGGACTCAGACATGCATGCACACCTCATACCCACCTTTTAAAAAATTTACTATTGTATACCAGTGTCTACTTCTGCTTATTGCAGAATTAATATCAATATATGAGACCCATTAGAAGCAGTTAACACATACACATGTACATATTCCACATTGAAAATAATTTTATACTGATGAGAATTCAGGTACAAGTTGTTAAATTTTATTGAGGTAAAGTTTGTTAGCATTTGAACTTTTCCCCAAAGTGGTATTTATGTAGTTTAATTAAGTACTAGTGACAAATTTCAACAACACAACTATTAAAGCCCCTGTTGATGTTCTACTTGTTTCAATTTATATCAAACCAGAAGAGTATTTATTACAGTTGTTTCATCACTAGTTTAGACCTCAGAAAGGAGGATAAAAGCACATAAAATACTTTTTTTTTTTTACAATTTATCAAATGATACATAATACTATTTACCAAAGTATAATTTTTTTTTAAATAAATCTTTTTTAAAAATCTTCTTTCTTCCTTTCTTTAATTTTTAAATGTATTTATTTTTATTTTATACACATTGGTGTTTGTCTGCATGTGTATCCTTGTGAAGGTATTAGAACTCATGGAGCTGGAGTTACAGACCGTTGTAAGCTCCCATGTGGGTGCTGAGATTGAACCCGGGTCCTCTGGGACAGCAGCCAGTGCTCTTAACCACTGACCTATCTGTCCATCCCCAGTATATTTCTTTATGAAAGTAAAAGAACTTTAAAATATTGACTGACAAATGTGTTAGTAGGTCATCAGAGAGGAGGGAATTTTAGCATAGAGTTCTTAAGTAGACAAGACTCAATGGGGTGCCTCTTTAAAGTAAGAGGAACATATAGAAAGTATTCAGTTCCTAACTCTAGTACAGGGAAAAAAAAATTGATGTAGACGGTTGAATGTTTATTTTAACAAATGCAAATTCCCAATGAAAAAGCACAATTAGGCATGACTTTATCTCCACTAAAATGATTAAGTGAACAGCTGGAACTTACATCTCGCCTGCTAGAAATAATCGT